ATAAATAATTAAAAAAAAAACATGAAGAACATACATATTATTGATACAAACTAACATGACCTATAAACAATTAACAAAAGACCAGACATATTGTTGACGCCAATTAACAAATTGCGATGATCCACAACTGAACATGCGCCCCTTTTATAACCCCTTATTTAGACCTTCCAAATACCAATGCAATTAAATACAAATTCAATACGAAGAGAGTTTTCCAATGTCAATACAATGCAATAAGTAATAGCAATCCAATACATTTGTATACTTGTTATTAATTCACATCTTTGGAATGCCAATGCAATGCACATGTATTATTATTATTAATTATTAGATGATGCAATAAATACCAACCCGGCGTGTGAAGATAGAGCAATTTGACTGTTCAATGTGTCAAAATTGAGCAATTCTAGATCTTCCAAAATGTACCACATGGCGAACAATCCGCATGAGTATTCATGGCGAACAACTAACATGGGTATTCATGAATCTTAGAGTTAAAAATATCTCCTTAAACCACACATCCAACGTGGCAAGAGAGAGCGATTCTAGAGCTCCAAAATAAACCAATTTTAGAGCTAAAAAAAAAAAGTGTCATACGTGTCACTCAATTAGGCATGCTTTTACCTTTGGATTTGGAATACCAATTCAGCAATTAATATCTCTCTACAACATCACCAATAAAATTTAACCACATAGCAACCACAAATCCTATGTGTCAAAATGGAACAATTCTATGAGTTCCAAAACGTGCCATATGGTGAACAACCCACATAGGTATTCAGCTTTATATATATATATATAGATAGATAGATAGATATAGAGGGAGAGAGAGAGAGAGAGAGAGAGAGAGATGTTTTAAATATATTATTGAATTACAAATTAAACAAATAATTAAAAAATTAACAAAGCTTAAAGAGCAACAGGTGATATTACTATATCTAATATGTATATACAGTAAAACCTCTCTGTAGCAATAAATTGTACATAAGGGTCGTTTGGATCGGGGATAAATAAGATAACGGGGGTAATATTTGTTTATTTTGCAAGATTCCTGTGTTTGGTTTGCAAGTAATAAAATATTACGATAATCTTTTATTCCAAATAGTGGTTACTGTTGGTAATGTGGGGGGGTAACCTTATTACCTTGCTAGAGGCTGTTATTAAAACATTACCAGGGCAATATGATTTTTCTTCCCATTTTGCCCTTAATTAAAAACTATTTCAGACACAATTACCCTCAAATGTCTACCAAATAATAATTTCCAGCCCCCCTATATTTGAGAAATTAGCTAAAACACCCCAGCCAAAAAAAAGTTTAAAAGTTAACAAAATACCCCTAGCCACCCAAGACCACCGCCGGCCGTGACTCACCACCATCAACTGCTGGCGTAATGGTGTACGATAGGCAGGATCTGGCTGGTCATGCGCCGGTAAGGCCTTTTTTGGCCATGGATCTAAAATGGCTAGATCTATTTTTTCTATGGCTGTTTCACGGCCAAAGATTTGGTCTTTTCATTGCTAGATCTGTGGCCGTTTCACAGCCACATCTTTGGCCGTGAAAAGGCCATGGATTTGGGATTCATAGCCATTTCCAGCTTTGTTGGCTCATAGCCGACCATATACGGCCAGTCGTGCACCATTCCGTCGACTGCTGGCAGCGGCCAGCAGTGGTGGCTGGCAGTGGCCAGTAGTGGTGGCTAGCTGTCGGTAGTGACTTGGGGTGGGTGGGGGTGATTTTACTATAAATTAAAGTTTTATATGGCTGGGGTGGTTTAGCAAAATTTCAAATGTAGAGGGTTAAAAGAAATGATTCAAAAAATAATAATAATAAATACTATTATATTAATATTTAAAAAGGAGGGCAAATTAGTAATCTATATAATATACCCATCCATTTATCCTCCCAATCAAACATATTATTTACCAATTTATTCGAACCAACCAAACACATTTTCTAAACATTCCCGGTAATCTTCAATGTAATCTTTTTTTTCGTTAATATAATATATCTTATAATAAATCATTATATTATCCAAACGCCCCCATAGTCATAAAAAATTATAATCTCAATTTGGGATAGTTATAAATAAGAATAAGATTTACATTGTAATAAGTTATAATTTTTCTAATTCCCACCTTAAGGAAAATTGCCTCTACGTAGTAATAATTATCTGTATATTACAAAAAATATATATGTTATGCTACAATAAAGGTTTGAGATGAAATAAAATATTTATCTAAAGTTGTTTGGGACAATGATTTATGTTTTAGAGTTGTTACCACATTTTTTACCTTGCGAGTACGTAATAACTCGCTAGCATGGATACATTTTCATTGACGCGAAAATATTTTTAACTTCTCAAGCATGTTTAGAGCTTCATAACACAAAATTTTTTGTATTTCCATACTATCATCCTCAAGATTATTTCTTTTCTCTTGTCTAATTGCAGAAATGATTTCTTCTTTAGTTAAAGTATACACAATTTGTTGCTCATTTGGATGATCGAGGAAGACATTAATATCAATTCAATTAGTGTATTGAAGTTGTTGAATTTGATCACTCAATTCTGCAATGACTCTTTTATTTTCCTCATTCATTTCATTTGTATGCAATTCATCGATATTGGAGGTTCTAATTTTGCAGTGCTTAAAACCATGGCAATTGTCTATGGCTTCACATTAATTAACCATGTATTAACTGCATTTACAGTTCCATCAATGACACTTGTCTTTACTGGTTCCAAGACACGATCTTCTATCCGTTTTAAAAGTAGGCAGTTGAAGCGCTAAATTGAAATCATAATACTACTAAAACATGAATTATAAAATAAGAAATCAAAACAATATTTTTTGTAATTACACTTCTATTAAGTTATAATCTCCTTATAGTAATAAAATTAGTTAGTCTCACCATTATGACTATAGAGAGTTTTTACTGTATAATTTTAAAGTATATTAATTATATCATGTGAGAATATATAAACTTTATTATTAAAAGTGTTTTATTTTAATAATCTAAAAATTCTTTCATGACATAAATAGTAAGAATGTGCAGTAATCTCGCCTTATAATATATTTCATAAATTTAATTAATTTTTATAAATTTTCGTATCTTTTGAACATTAAAATAATAAGAAGCATAATCTAATTAAATACCGTTCTTAAAATTTAAAAAATAAAAATATTTTTATATATAAACCGGTTGACTAATATTATCTTATTATCTATCTCATGATATTTAAATTAATTGTTTTGCTTTTCATAAAATCTAATAATCTTTTATCTTATTCTAATAATGTAATAATCTTTCATAAAAGAACACTGTGTACATCTGCATCTTTTCTTTTGGGCTTTGGCCCAAGCTTCACACATATATTGGGCTTTGCTTTCTTTTCATAGGTTGGCTCATTCGGTTGTGAAGCCCATTAAGAAATGGGCTTAGTTCTTTGAGTTTGTAAAATGCCTCTCACTTGGCCATCCATCCAATCAACTAATCTATGATTACATACATACTCTATTATCATTTAAAATTAGGGATGGGTGCGATTAAAATTAGGGATGGGTGCGGGCCGAGGACCCCATTCCCCGTCCCCGTTGCCCACTCCCATGATCGTCCCCACCCCGACCATCCCCGGCCTGATGAACGAGGCTTCGCAAGGAATCCCCTCGCGCGGGGATTTATCCTTCGAACATATGAGTTGAAATGTTGGATTGCTGGAGTACTTGACAACTCCAACAAGAATTAATACAGTAATTATATTCAATCTTAACATAATTTATTAGGTAAATTGTTGAATTATTCAATTTTATGGAGGCTTAGGTTTAGTTAGCCATGTTCAAAATCCCCGGCCCGTCCCCGGATGCGGGGATTTTTCTAAGGACCATCCCCGGCCCTATCCTCGATTTTTTCAAGGATTCCCCGCCCCATTTGGGCCGGGTCGGGGCGGATCCCCGCAGGACCGAGGCAAACGCCCATCTCTATTTAAAATCAACCAATGTACCAACAGATACCGTGATATAGCATCAACTTAATAAATACAAAACAAGGTTGAATGACAAAGTAATATAAGATCGAATTATTTGTTAAGAGATCGCGTAACGGAAAACATATATTCGAGATGAATAACATAAGATTAAAATCACACAACATAAAGAGACATGATATTTATGTGGTTTAGTATAATTGATATTCAAGAATACACAACATCAGAAACTCAATACATAAAACAGAGCATAAATAATCCTAGTTTCTAACCACGCTCCCAGTACCTAGAGTGAAAACGATCACAGTTTCTAAGATACTCTCCCCATAGTTTTTAATAACCTTTTACACCAAATACTTTGTATTCTCACGTTCTTTCATAACCTTGAATTAGTTCTCACCCCTAATACGAGACGTTATAGTTCTAATAGGATTAATATTTAATAAGACTCCTATAATTATATTCATATTTATAATTGTATTTTTATTAAAGATATACAATTTTACATGGGAGCAAATAGGAAAATGAACCACAATATCCTAATATTATTTTATATTAATGTTTACAGATTCAACTGCATTAATCTATTTTTCCCCTATTTTATATTTTATTATTTTGAACTTGCCTCACGAGGCTACCACTTCATGTAGTAAAGTAATAGTATGGCTAAATCTGAAAAATTCAATAATACATCATATAGTATGAATTGATCTCCTGTAGACAAAAATTGAGTTGACATTGTTCCCAACAAAAATATCTCATTCAAAACAAAAAAGAAAATTAGTGGGAGGGACTATTTTGGTTGTGAAACAGGAGTCATAAATGGCATAAAGTTAGTGCTTTTCGGTTACGCTTACTTGTAAAACACTATTTTCTACAAAGAAAAGAATAAGAAGAATAGAAGCAACAAGTCACATCACATGATGAGGTGATCCCAATTATCTCTGTCCCCACCTCTATATATCTCCTTCAATCCACTCACCACCACTACACAAGCCTTCAACCTTTCATTCTTCTTTCTCACTTCTTCTTTGATCACTCCTGTCTCTTTCATTATCTTGAATCCTATTAATCTGATTTCTTCATCAAACTTTACTTAGTTTTTTTTTTTTTTTTTTTTTATCCTAAACACCAAGAACTGTTAAACTCCTCCCCTATCTTTCTCCACAATCCCAGCAACAAAACCCAAAACAACAAAATATTCTGTTTTTTTTAGATCATGTTTTCATCTCCTTACCTCTATTCTTTTGCCCTCTTTCTCTCTCTTTCTATTCTTTTCTTCTTCTTCGCCCCTCAAATTCTCCCTCCCAAACACTCCCAATCCATCCCCTCCCTCTCTGACGACCTCGACGATCTCTCCCTCTTCCGCAACGCCGTCGCCACCCAACAACAAACCTCCGCACGCTCCGCCGTCTCCTCCAAAATCTCCCATTTGTCCTTGTCAAATTCCAAGCCCAAAATCGCCTTCCTCTTCCTCACCAACTCCGATCTCGTCTTCGCTCCCCTCTGGGCCGCTTTCTTCTCCGGCAACAAAAACAAAAACCTCTTCAACATCTACGTCCATGCCGACCCCTCCGTCAAACTCAGCCACCCTCACCGCCTCTTCAACCACCGCTTCATTCCGGCCAAAAAAACCCAACGCGCATCGCCGACACTGATCTCCGCCGCCCGGAGACTCCTTGCCAACGCGCTCATCGACGATCCGTTGAATCTCTACTTCGCGCTTTTGTCTCAAAGCTGCATCCCTCTCCATTCTTTTCAATATATTTACCATTCCCTCTTCGGAAATTCTTTAAATCTCTTCCGCGCTTTCGCCTCTCAACATAAACACAAAAGCTTCATCGAAATTCTCGATGACGATCCCAACTTGCCGGAGCGTTACATTGCCCGAGGGGAGAACACGATGTTACCCGAAGTCCCGTACGAGCAGTTTCGAGTCGGATCTCAGTTCTTTATTATATCGAAACGCCACGCGTTACTTGTGATAAAAGAGAAGAGATTGTGGCGGAAGTTTAAACTTCCGTGTTTGAATTTGAATTCTTGTTATCCGGAGGAGCATTATTTTCCGACATTGTTGTCGATGGAAGATCCGACGGGTTGCAGCGGTTACACGCTGACGAGAGTGAATTGGACTGAGAGTGTCGACGGGCATCCGCATACGTACCAGGCGGCGGAGGTGTCGCCGGAGCTTATTGACACGTTGAGGCAGTCGAATTCGAGTTATTCGTATTTTTTCGCGCGGAAATTCTCGGCGGAGTGTTTGAAGCCGTTGATGAAGATTGCAAATGATGTCATCTTCAAGGATTGATGGAGAAATCAAACTAAGGTATGTTGATTGCTTGATTGCTGGTGTTATAAGTATTCACTTTCTCATTTTCTTTTCTTACCCGTCCGTCTGGTAACGTTACCGAAGCCTTAACGAAAACCATTAGAGATTAGACCAGCACCGCATTGACGATTAGATTACGATCTGTTTTTTTTTTTTTAATTAGGTAGATCATATTAATGGCTTTATTTAAGCTTCCAATTTCTTTAAAAAAAAAAAAAATTAGTTTGGGCAATTAGTCTTTTCACTTGTGAGAAAAACCCTATCAACATGAACTGATGATACCGATAATTTTATATATGTCAATCTTATAGTAGTTAACACCTGAAGTCTTTTGTATGTGAAAAGACGCTTTTGCCCCTCAAATAAACATTATTATCGGATGATTTTAGGCTTTATTTTCATTTAGCTTATATGAGATTAATCGGTTTGAAGATGGAGTTGAGGGGTAATTTATATTTTCGATATTTTAAAGACATCCTATGTGAAAATGTTTGTTTTATTACTTCAATCTTATTATTTGTTTGGGACATATCACATGCTTATGATAAAAATTAGTTTGGTGTTACACTAGATATACTTTGTTAATTAGGTTCATGGATTTGTTTGCACACGTTGAATTAATTTTCAAATCTTTAAGTAAGATTTAGGTCAAATGAGTTTGACCACTGCTGTTTTTGCATAGATTTTCGTCAATTAATGTATTGGCACGCGCGTCCCCTCATATTTTACTAATATCCCCCTTTGTCGGTGTTTGGGCCTTGTTTGTTCTCAGATATTTAAAAACACTTTTGTATATATATATATTTAGAAGATTATTATTGAGTACAAGAGTTTGCATATATAATATACTTTAAATATATTATTTATATTGGTATTTTTTTTTTTTTTCCTTTGAAGTTTGTATCTTTTAAATGATTTCAAAAAGTGTTTCATGGAACACACTTAAATAATAAAAGTTTTCTCAAATTTTTTTGAAATAATATAACTCTTTTTACTATTAGTAAACCATTAGCATGCTATTAAAGTTTGATAAATGTTAGATGTATAAAAACTCTTTCAAAGAGTTATGAGTTGATAAACATTTACTTGCTTGTCTTATTGACATTTATTTTAATACACAAAAATATAACGATAAAAGAATTTTCATATCTATTTTATTTTTTTGGCCTTTTTCAGGATGAAGAAAGAGATGAACTTGAGGTGTTGGAGTGTGAGTGTTTAGGGGACGTAAGTCATCCCAAAAACACAAAATAATGTTGGTGTTGGCGTAGATAGAAATAGTGTAATTTTGTTATATATGGAAGATGGGTGGGGGCTTAGCGTGGAGTGTGAAAAGCAATGCAAAGGCAAAGGCCCATTGCTTTCTGTTTCTGTTTCTCTCTGTTTTTTCTTGTTACTCTCTCTCCCATTTGCTCCTCCTTCCACTTCCAGTTCTACCAAAGGTGCTCTGATATTGTATATTGTAGCAACAACAACATTATTAATTAAATGCTATTGGGAATTGTAATTATTAGAACACTCACTCTCTCTAAGTCTGCCTTCACGTCACGTGTGGAGTTTATATTATAATGCAAGACAGTGGAGTCTTTGGATTCCAAATATAACAAGTTAGCATAATAATAAATAATTTTAAACCGAATCTGAGTAGCTTGTCTTTGTCTCTGCTTATCAACAATTTCATCACAAGAGTGTCAATCAATTTGAATAGAAAAATCATTAGGGATTTAAATAAAAAAAATAAAAAAACAAGGTCAATTTTAGATAAGGTGACATTGGCTTGTAAAAGTTGGCAGAATTTAGTCCAACTTAGGTCCATGTTCGATGGCCCACTGCACAGCCAAGTGGGCCGAAGGATTTATTTATCAAGTCAGTACGGAACCAATAAGTGGATGGCTCTGATACCAGCTTGATCTTTTCATCACGGATTACTGCGTGTGCGGAGGATTACCTCCCCTCGAATATTGGTTTCTTTAAGTTACTTATTGGTTCCAATTTCTGCGTGTGCGGAGGATTACCTCCCCTCGGATATTGGCNGTTTGTCGGTGTTTGGGCCTTGTTTGTTCTCAGATATTTAAAAACACTTTTGTATATATATATTTAGAGTTTGCATATATAATATACTTTAAATATATTATTTATATTGGTATTTTTTTTTTCCTTTGAAGTTTGTACCTTTTAAATGATTTCAAAAAGTGTTTCATGGAACACGCTTAAATAACAAAAGTTTTCTCAAATTTTTTTGAAATAATAAAACTCTTTTACTAGTAGTAAACCATTAGGATGTTATTAAATTTTGAGAAATGTTAGATGTACAAAAACTTCTACAAAGAATTATGAGTTGATGAAAATTTACTTACTTGTCTTGTTGACATTTATTTTAATACATAAAAATAAAACGATAAAAGAATTTTCATATCTATTTTATTTTTTGGCCTTTTTCAGGATGAAGAAAGAGAGTGTTTAGGGGGCGTAAGTCATCCCAAAAACACAAAATAATGTTGGCGTTGGCGTAGATAGAAATAGTGTAATTTTGTTATATATGGAAGATGGGTGGGGGCTTAGCGTGGAGTGTGAAAAAGCAATGCTAAGGCAAAGGCCCATTGCTTTCTCTCTCTCTCTCTCTGTTTTTTCTAGTTATTCTCTCTCCCATTTGCTCCTCCTTCCACTTGCAGTTCTACCAAAGGTGCTCTGAATCTGATATTGTATATTGTAGCAACAACAACATTATTAATGATTAAAACACTCACTCTCTCTAAGTCTGCCTTCACGTGTGGAGTCTTTGGATTCCAAATATAACAAGTTAGCATAATAATAAATAATTTTAAACCGAATCTGGGTAGCTTGTCTTTGTCTCTGCTTATCAACAATGTCATCACAAGAGTGTCAATCAATTTGAATAGAAAAATCATTAGGGATTTAAATTAAAAAAAAAATAAATTGTGGAGGTCAATTTTAGATAAGGCGACATTGGCTTGTAAAAGTTGGCTGAATTTAGTCCAACTTGGTCCATGTTCGATGGCCCACTGCACAGCCAGGTGGGCTGAAGGATTTATTTATCAAGTTAGTACAAATGCTGAATGAAAATTCAATAGGATAAAATAATGCAACACTTTTCAACTTTTTTTTTTTTTTTTTTTAACTTTTTTTGTGACTTAGGTGTTCGAACCAGTTTGTGTCCATCTCAACTAATCTTTGGGACCCTGAAGTTAATAGTCGGATAAACCTCTAGTGGCTACTCTTATTAACAACCGAGGTGAATCGAACTCAGAACCTCTTAGGTAATACCCCAAGAGTTCTTATTCAACTACTCAACCACCCAAGGGTGGTTAATAGTTATCAACTTCATTAGATTTTTTTTGAATTTTCCTTCTCAATATATATATATATAGTAAAACCTCTCTATAGTGATACTCTATATAAGAATAAACTCTACATAGTCATAAAAAATTATAATCCCAATTTGAGATAATTAGAAATAAGAATAAATTTTCTATTGTAATAAGTTATAACGTTTCTAATTCCCGTCTTAAGGAAAGTTGCCTCTACATAATAATAATTATTTGTATATTGCAAAAAACAAAAAAAAATATTCTATATTACATTAAAAGTTTCAAATGAAATAAAATATTGATCTAAAGTTGTTTGAGATAATGATTTATGTTTTAGAATTGTTTGAGACATCTTTTATCTGTGAGTATATAATAATTCGCTAGCATAGAAACTTTCTTGTTGCAGCCAAAATATTGCTAACTTCTCAAGCATATTTAGAGATTTTTTACGCAAAACTTTTTGTATTTTCATACTATCATCCTTGGGACTATTTCCTTTCTCTTCTTGTCTAATTGTAACAATGATTTCTTCTTAAGTTAAGCATACATGACTTGTTACTTATTTGAATGATTGAGGAAGACATTAATATCTATTCGATTAGTATAGTAAAGTTGTCCAATCTCATCACTTGATTATGTAATGACTCTTTGATTCCCCTCATCCATTTCATTTGTAACTTGCAATTCATCGACATAGGGGATCATAATTTTGCAGTGCTTAAAACATTGGCAATTGTATGACTTTATATCAATTGACCATGCAACAACTGCATGTACAATTCCATCAAGAACACTTATCTTTGCTTGTTCCAAGACATGATCTTTTATCTATTTGAAAAGTAGACAATTGAAGTGTTGAATTGAAATCCTAATACTGTACTACTAAAACATGAATTATAAAATAAGAAATCAAAATAATAATTTTTGTAACTATACCTCTATTAAGTTATAACCTCCTCATAATAATAAAATTATTTTATCTCACTATTATGATTATAGAGATGTTTTACTATATGTAGGTATATATATATCGAGCATATGTTCAATAATAAAATCCCAAAAAAAAAAAAAAAAAAAAAAAATTACTTGATAATTTCAGTAAATTAAATCAATATGAAAACAGAAAAATTTGTTGGAAAGTTAATGAAACTTAAAATTATTGATAATACTTTAATGATGTGTGTGTACATTATTAGATAGTATTATGATGTATTTTTTAATTATTCAATTAATTTTTCATGATCCCAGTATCGATGAAGAGATTATTTCCAAGTAATTAAAAAAAAAAAAAAAAAAAAGTTTATACATCTAAATTGATGTGACATTATCCTTTCTATTCATATTGTTGATCTTCATTTAACAAATTAATTTAATTTTTTGTTTACTTCGTTATCCATTTTTTACTATATTAATTATTTGTATATACAATATTTTGGAAGCAAAAACTTGTATTGGAAATTCTTGATAAATATTGCTGGTATGAATAGGAAAAGGATAAAAAAAGTGCAAGTGCAGTAGGAGAGAAACAAATTCAGAAAGTAAAAAGATAACGTCGTCCCTACCGTATCTACAGAGGGGCCAAAGGATCTGTGAATTACTGAATTATATTACTCCACTTGTCCTTAATCGTGGACATACCGATGTATACATGAGTGGGGGCTGGTGACCCCTCTCAAAAAACAAAAAATTCTTATACTTGTTTTAGTTTTTTTCTACATTTTTTTTTTTTTTTACATGTGAAATTTCGCATATCAAATTATTTGCATAAAACTATAAGAAATGATATAATAAATCTTCATATCAATTTGCTTCAAGAATTTGACAAAACACTTAATCTAGTTAATCAGAAAGTAAAATAAATACAGAGGACTAAGCCTCAATGGGGATACAAAATTAACTAAAACAAGAACAAGTACTTAAACATACATATGAATGCAGCCATGAAAGAGCAGCAATGGTGACTTTATTTTAACATTCAACGCCTACACGCACACAGAAGCAGTAGTAACTTAATTAACCTAATTTGTCTCAAATTTCAGGCCGGATACTTCTAGTTTGATTCCTGTGATTTCATCCAAACCCTCTTCCATTTCAGCTGTAAGAAAATTCTTCCAATCTCCAATGACGCCACGCCTGAAAAACAAACTTTTGGGTATCTTAGAATGAAACACAACTCCATTTTTGTTTACCTCCAAGCTCTTCATTAGCCTGTCCAAGCTTGATCTCCACAACACTTTATCAACCTCATCTTCATTAACAAATGGTCATCCAAGAAACGATGCTAGCCTTTTCACTTCCCCTTTCGGATCTCTTTTAAGATCTTCATACTTCAAGAACAATATCTTGTTAGGCATCTTCAAGCTATCGGACCAATACTGTAAAACATGATCAAGATTCGGTCCGAAGTAGTGAAATCCTTCGCGAAATTCATCATAAAATTTTTCTATAGGATATGGTTCAGAAATTGTTCCTAATACTTTGTTTATGTTGATGTAGTGATATTTTGCTGGAAATGCATCAAAGTTCCTGTTTGCAGTTTGAAAGGTTTTGGCGCCAATTGAGTTCAGTTGCTGCAGTTGGTTTGACGTGTGTAAGCTGAAGAATTTGGTGCTTTTTTGATGATTTGTTTAGGTGTGATTAAGACCTGTAAATGATGTGTTTTGTGTATGCTTTAGTTGGTTGTTAGAGTTTAAATTCAAAATATGAAAATATCCCTGCTGTAGTTGTTGTAATAGTGGATATTTTAGTTGCATTGTTGTATAAATTATCCGTCTTAATGTAATGTTATAAGCCTTCCATATATTCTTCCAGTTTTTGCTTTCTTTTCTTTGAATTCTCCGGCCATAACACCATCAAATGGTATCAAAGCCAGCTTAAGAAATCTGAAAAGCTCTTCCACATATAATCAACCCTTCACTTTGTCTTCAAGAATTCCACTCTGCCTCCAAGAACTCCCTTGTTTCAGACCATCTACTTGAACTAATGGTTGCTCAATCAGCCTTGATGTCACCTCCAGTTTTCAATGGAGAACACTATCATATATGGATTGTAAAAATGAAGGCTTTCCTCCGGGGTCAGGGTTTGTGGCAGTATGTAGAGGAGAATAGGCAGCCATCACCCTTGGGACCAAACCCCACCTTGAACCAGATCAGAATGCATGAAAAAGAAGCTGCCAAGGCACCGAGAGCCCTATCTCACATCCATGCAGCTGTAACCGACCTTGTGTTCACAAGGATTATGGCATATGAAACTCAAAAGGAGGCGTGGGACAAGTTGAGAAGGAATACATGGGAAGCAACACAACAAGGAATATGCAGGTGTTGAACTTGAGAAGGGAGTTTGAGTTGTTGAGGATGAAAGAATCAGAGAAAGTGAAGGAGTATGTTGACAGGCTGATGAGTGCGATCAACAAAATCAGGTTGTTAGGAGTGGAGTTAACAGATATAAGAGTTGTAGAGAAGGCCATAGTGAGCTTACCCGAAAGGTTTGAGTCCAAAATTTCTTCCCTTGAGGACTCTAAGGACATGTCTCAGATCACCTTGACTGAGCTTGTTCATGCACTCCAAGCTCAAGAGCAAAGAAGACTCTTGAGGCAAGAAGACACAAGTGAGGGTGCAATGATAGCAAATAAAAAGGGCAAGCCTGTAAGAGGACATAACAGGAGCTACTGGGGATAAAAAGGGGAAAGAAAAAAGCAATAGTCAGTGGGAAAAACCAGGTAGGGTGAAGGAGTATCCTGCCTACTCTCACTACAAAAAGAAAGGGAATTCCGAGAGGAAGTGCTGGTTTAGACCAGGGATACAATGCAAAGGTTGCAAGCAGTTTGGGTACATAGATAAGGTCTGCACGAACAAGGGAAGTTAGCTACCACAACAAGCTCAAGTTGGAGAAGATCAATCGCAATGTCAAGAGGCTGAACAACTCTTTGTGGCCTCTTTCTACGCATCACAGATTAGCAATGAAGCTTGGCTGATTGATAGTGGTTGCACCAACCACACGGCTGAAGACCTGCACAAATTCATTAATCTGGATAAGTTATATAGCTCTAGAGTTAAGATAGGAAATGGTGACTCTGTGGAGGTCAAAGGCATAGGAGATGTTGCTATCCAAATACAATCAGGTACTAAAATCATCCCTAATGTCTTGTATGTACCTGAAATTAATCAAAATTTGTTAAGTGTTGGGCAAATGTTAGAGAAGGGTTATTCTCTACATTTTCAAAATCAGGCTTGTGTTATATTAGATGGTGATGGAAATGAATTAATGTGTGTGAAAATGATGGGAAAAAGCTTCTCGATTGAGTGGAAGAAACCTGGTAATTTAGCTTTAACATCTAGACTGGAAGAATCATAACTTTAGCACAAAAGGCTTGGCCATTTTCACTATAATGGCCTCAAAGAGCTTAAGAGCAGAAACATGGTTCTAGACCTGCCTGAGATTGAAGAGAAGAAGAGTCTTTACAGTGCTTGCCAACTTGGTAAGCTCAATAGGCCACCCTTTCCCACGAATCAGGTCTGGAGAGCAACCGAAAAACTCCAGCTGATCCACACTGATGTTTGCGGCCTTATGCAAGCTGAATCCATGAGTGGAAGCAAGAATTTTGTGCTATTTATTGATGACCTCACACAGATGACTTGGGTGTATTTCCTAAAGCAAAAGAATGAGGTTGCTGTAGTATTTAAAAGTTTTAAGCTGCTAGTGGAGAATCAAACAGGGCTGAGTATCAAGACTATAAGAAGTGACAATGGGATAGAATACACATCAAAGGAGTTTGATTCCATTTGCAAAGAAGCAGGGATCAAGCATCAATTCACTGCTCCATATACTCCACAACAAAATGGAGTTAGTGAAAGGAAGAATAGGACACTCATGGAGATGGCTAGGTGTATGATTGTAGAGAAAAAGTTGCCAAGAATGTTTTGGGCTGAAGCTGTCAACATAAGGGTCTATATTCTCAATAGACTCCCAACCAAGGCTGTCAAGAATCAGACTCCATTTGAAGCTTGGAGTGGAGTCTAACCAATAGTAAGCAGTCATAAAGTATTTAGGAGTATTTGCTAGTAATGGTTCCAACAAATAAGAGGAGCAAGTTGGATGAAAAATCAAAAGTGGGAATCTTTATAGGGTATAACAGTCAGTCCAAAGGCTATAGGTTCTACATTCCTAAATCTAAAAGAATTGTAATTACAAGGGATGTAAGGGTTGATAAGAAATCAATCTAGAATTGGGAGGAGAAAAAAATTGATGAAGAATGCAAATTACAGTTGCCAACCGAAAGTCTGATTGATGAGGCTGAAATTGAAGAGGATGAAAAGCTTTCGGTTAGAGGGACCAAAACCTTGGCTGATGTTTATGCAAGAAGTAATATGGTTGTGCTTGAACCAAGGAACTATGATGAAGCTACTAAGTCAGAAGCCTAGAGAAATGCAATGTAGGAAGAGATGTCAATGATAGAGAAGAACAACACCTGGGAACTTGTTGACAGACTTGGAAATAGGAAAGTGATCCAAGTGAAGTGGATTTACAAGAAGAAACTCAATCCTGATGGATCAGTCCACAAACACAAGGCAAGGTTGGTGGTTAAGGGGTTTGCACAGCAGCATGGGGTGGATTTTTCAGAAACTTTTGCTCCGGTGGCCAAACATGACATTATTAGGTTACTTCTTGCTTTAGCAGCTCAATTTGGCTGGAAAATTTTCCAGCTTGATGTTAAATCAGCATTTCTAAATGGCTGGTTGAGTGAGGAAATTTTTGTGGAGCAACCTGAAGGTTATCAAGTCAAGGGTGAAGAAGATAAAGTGTATCTACTGAAGAAGGCCTTATATGGCCTGAAGTAGGCACCTAGAGCCTGGTACAACCAGATAAATGACTATCTAAGAAACCAAGGATATGCTAGAAGTCCTAATGAGCATACACTTTATGTTAAGGAGACTAAATGTGACTTGATTGTAGTCTCTTTGTATGTAGATGATCTGCTGATTACAAGGAGTAATGTTGAACAATTGAACCATTTAAGAAGTCCATGCAAAGTGAATTTGAGATGATTGATTTAGGAGAAATGACATACTTCCTTGGTATGGAAATAAATCAGTCTAATGATGGGATTTTTGTGTGCCAAGAAAGGTATACAAATGAAGTTCTTAGGAAGTTTGGCATAGAGAATTGCAAACCAATGGACACTCCATTGGTTCCCAATTTGAAGTTAAGCAAGGATGATGGTGCAATGAGAGTGGATGAGGGGCTGTTTAGAAGCTTAATTGGATACTTGCTATACTTGACAGCTACACGACCTGATCTCATGTTTGCCTCCAACTATCTTTCCAAGTTCATGAGTAATCCGAGTGAGTTGCATTTCAGGGCAGCCAAGAGAGTGTTAAGGTATGTGAAAGGAAGCATCGGGCTTGGCATTTGGTTCAAAAAGTCTGAAAATCTGAAGTTGCTGGGCTATACTAACAGTGACTGGGGAGGATCTTTTGATGAAATGAAGAGCACCTTAGGTTATGTGTTTTACATAAACTCTGGTGCAATTTGTTGGCTGTCAAAGAAACAGGAGACTGTGGCTCAGCCACAGTAGAAGCAGAGTATATATCTGCTGCAGCAGTTGTGAACCAAGCCATTTGGCTGAGGAAAATTCTGGCAGACTTGAAGCAAAACCAGGGAAGCCCAATCTAATTCTGTGTGACAACCAGTCTGCAGTTGCCATGGCCAAAAATCCAGTACTTCACGGCAGAACCAAGCATATCAAGATAAAATTTCATGTTGTGAGGGAAGCTGAGTATAATGGCAAAGTTAGTTTAATCCATTGCAGGGGTGAAAATCAAATTGTTGATATTATGACCAAAGCATTGTCCAAAGCCAAGTTTGAAGATCTTAGGCTCAAACTTGTTGTTTCCAACAAAACTATCAAGGAGGAGTGTTGATGCAGTGATATTTTGCTGGAACTGCATCAAAGTTCGTGTTTGCAGTTTGAAAGGTTTTGGCACCAATTGAGTTCAGTTGCTGCAGTTGGTCTGACATGTGTGAGCTGCAGAATTTGGTGCTTTGTTGATGATTTGTTTAGGTGTGATTAAGACCTGTAAATGATGTGTTTTGTGTATGCTTTAGTTGGTTGTTGGAGTTTAAATTCAAAATATGAAAATATCCCTGCTGTAGTTGTTGTAACAGTGGATATTTTAGTTGCATTGTTGTATAAATTATCAGTCTTAATGTAATGTTATAAGCCTTCCATATATTCTTCCAGTTTTTCCTTTCTTTTCTTTGAATTCTCCGGCCATAACACCATCAGTTTAAATAGTGCCAAAGTGACAAAAAAATGTCTTTCGAGTTTCGGGGAGAGATCAAGATTTGAAGTATCGAAGAATAAATCATATATTTTACTGTTCTTACGTGTTCATGAGGATTTTTCAGTTGAAGCTCATCCTCAACACCGCCATTTGGATCTTTATTTTTTATTCCCATGATGGAAACACAAAGGGCCTTAAGCCATGTAGTTCCTGTTTTCATAGAGGAAGTCAAGAAAATATCGTCAGAACAAGGTTCAAAATGAGAATGAAAGTTTCGAATACCTTGAATGACTTCGGCACTGTACCAAAAGGCTTGCAGTTGGTAAAGGATATGGGAGTTCCATATCAATTTCTTGGGAAGTTGATCAAGGAATTCTTGCTGCAACTATGAATCTTTTTTGATTTCCATGCCTAACAAGCTCAAGCTACTTCCGCTTAATGTTCTAAATTCATCGACAACATATATAGAGCTTGTCTTACTCTACCATAGAAAGTGTGAGGTGGATAGACCAATCATATCCTAACTTTAAATCGACTGATATAGTTAGATGAAAGAAAAACGTGATATAATTTTATTGGATAGATAGGCGATTTTATCTTAATTTTTCTTTCTGCAAAGTTTAGAGCCCGCAATACACACGGGAAACAGCATAGAAGCATGGTTTTAAAACTCAGGCTAGACCAACCGATCCCAAATGCGGTCCACTAAATGACTAAAACTCGTTTTAGCCATTGCACAGATTGACCTAGGGTTGAACCGATTGAACAATGTTGAATCGCCAGTTAAACCATTGGGTCAGAGAATTAGTGACATCAACATGACATAAAACCCCTAAAGTTAGCATAAAATTTATTAATTATTAGAGTTTTAAAATTTTATTACATCATACTGACATCAGTATAAAGTAACTAGTCCGACCGTTGGTCGGACTGTGGACTGGCCACTTGACGGGATCAAAGACGGGTATAAAAACTTTGCTTATAAGTGCTAGGAAAATTTTTGCACATGAGTTATTTGAAGGCAATTAATTTGGTGGGTGAGAGTCTGAGATAGATGAGACAAAATTGATATATATAAAACTAGCAAACTTTCAAAAAGTTTCAACTAACAAACAAATGGTGATGAAGAAGTGTGGTATAATATAACAATGACCATGTGTTACAATTCATATTTTTGTTACTTTTTAAATTAAATATTAAATGTTTCTAAGATGGGGTGGTTGGGTTTTAATACTATTGTGCTGTCAATCTGGAGAGGATAATTCCCTATTAGGAGAGAAGATATTTAGATTGGCTCAATTTATAAGGAAGATATTCATGTTGACTTAGATTCCAACTAAGGTAGTCAAAGACCATGCAACTTCCGAGTCCTACGTATTTGAATCTTATCTCAACTCTATCATGTAAATGAGTGCTATATAAACCCATCACAACTTGTTTTCAAGGGGGCTGGGCAATTGTTCTAAGCAATTTTTCTGAGGAATTATACTGTTCTTTGTAAGCTCTCAAAAACAATAAGATAACAGTGGACGTAGGCTCAAGTTCTAACTTGCCGAATCACTTTAAAAATCTCTCTGCCATTTACTTTATTGCATTTATTATTCATCCACTACTGGTTATCCGTAATCACGCGCACATCCATTCCGGTTCTAACAGGGTCAATCAAAATTCTCTGGTTGGTGCAGATTTATGTATCAACATTTTGGTGCTAGAAGGAAGACTTGATTCATACCAACTCTCCCTATTTTTCCAGCAAGTCTCAACTTCTTCAGCAAATCCCAGCTTCTTTTTCTAGAATCACGTTATCAAATGTGAAAATCTGAGTAGGATAAAGTTTGAATCTGGCTAAGTGGTAGACATAAGAATTGTATCCCTTCAAGTTAGATTTTTGACAGTCTAAGAATCATCCAAATATGAGGTCTGTAGCTCAAGTTATTGTCAAAATACTGAAGCCTGTTCCAAATCAGAGTTCTCAGATTGCACGGCCAGATTGCTCAGATTACACGCTTAGATCACTCTGATCTTCAACTTCAGATCGTGTGGTCAGATCGCTCAGATCGCATGCTCAAATCTCTTAGATTAGAAAGAGCTCCCAAGCTCCCAAGCTCTCCAAGGTTTCTGATCGAGCAATGCTCTCAGATCCAACTCTCTATGCTTTCTAATCAAGCAACGCTCTCAGATTAAGCTCTCATGCTTTCTGATCGAGCTATGCTCTCAGATCAAGCTCTCCATGCTTTTTGATCAAGCCATGCTCTTAGGTCAAGCTCTCATGCTTTCTGATCGAGCTATGCTCTCATGCTTTCTGATCGAGCTATGCTTTCATATCAAGCTCTTCATGCTTTCTGATTGAGCCATGCTCTCAGATCAAGCTCTCCATGCTTTCTGATCGAGCTATGCTCTCAGATCAAGCTCTCCATGCTTTTTGATCGAGCTATGCTCTCAAATCAAGCTCCCCATGCTTTTTGACTAAGTAATGCTCTCAGATCAAGTTCTCCATGCTTTCTGATCAAGCAATGCTCTCAGATCAAGCTCCCCATGCTTTTTGATCAAGCAATGCTCTCAGATCAAGCTCTCTATGCTTTCTGATCGAGTCATGCTCTCAGATCATGCTATCAGATCAAGCTCTCCATGCTTTCTAATCGAGTAATGCTCTCAGATCAAGCTCTCCATACTTTCTAATCGAGCTATGCTCTGAGATCAAACTCTCTATGCTTTCTAATCGAGTCATGCTCTCAGATCAAGCTCTCCATGCTTTATAATCGAGCAATGCTCTCAGATCAAGCTCCCCATACTTTCTGATCGAGCAATGCTCCAGATCAAGCTCCTCATACTTCTGATCAAGCAATGCTCTCAGATCAAACTCTCCATGCTTTTTGATCGAACAATGCTCTCAAATCAAGCTCTACATGCTTTCTGATCGAGCAATGCTCTTAGATCAAGCTCCCCATGCTTTCTGATCAAGCAATGCTCTCAGATCAAGCTCTCCAAGCTTTCTGATCGAGCAATGCTCTCAGATCAAGCTTTCCATGGTTTCTGATCGAGCAATGCTCACAGAGCAAGCTCTCCATGCTTTCTGATCTAGCAATGATCTCAGATCAAACTCTCCATGCTTTCTGATCAAGTTATGCTCTCAAATCAAGTTTTTCGTACTTTTTATCGAGCCATGCTCTCAAATCAAGCTCTCCATGCTTTTTGATCAAGCCATGCTCTCAAATCAAGCTCTCCATGCTTTCTAATCAAGCAATTCTCTCATACCAAGCTCTCCATGATTTCTGATCGAGCTATACTCTTAGATCAAGCCTTCCATGCTTTCTAATCGAGCAATACTCTCAGATCAAGCGCTCCATGCTTTCTGATCGAGCAATGCTCTCAAATCAAGCGCTTCATGCTTTCTGATTGAGCTATGCTCTCAGATCAAGTTCTCCCTACTTTCTGATCAAGCTATACTCTCAGATCAAGCTCTCCATACTTTTTGATTGAGCTATGCTCTCTGATCAAGCTCTCCGCGTTTTCTAATCGAACTCCTCGCACTCTTAGATCGAGCTCCTTATGCTCTTTGATCAAGCTCCTTATGCTCTCTGATCGAGCTCCCTGTGCTCTTAGATCAAATTCTTTATGCTCTCTGATTAATCATAAGCTCGCTCATTCGCTTGAGATCACGTGTTCAAGATCTCTCAGATCTCTTAGATTGCGGCAAGCATAATTCAAGTTCTTCAGTTCGAGACTACAGCCTATAGTGCGACAACCATCCAAATCAAAGACATGAGTTTTTGAAGCGTGATTACGCACTCCAAAAACTAGGGGGCTATTGTTGTACAGTTAATCCGGAGAGGATAATTTCCTATTAAGAGAGAAGATATTTAGATTGACTTAATTTGGAAGGAAGATTTTTAGATTGACTTAGATTCCAACTAAGGTAGCCGAAGATCATGCAACTTCCTAATCATACATATTTGAATCTTATCTGAACTCTATCATGTAAATGGGTGCTATATAAACTCATCATAACTTGTTTTCAAAGGGGCTGGACAATTGTTCTAAGCAAATTTTCCTAGGAATTATACTATTCTTTGTAAGCTCTCAAAAACAATAATATAACAGTGGATGTAGGCTCAAGTTCTAACTTGCCGAACCACTTTAAAAATCTCTCTACCATTTATTTTATTGCATTTATTATTCATCCACTACCGGTTATCTGTAATCATACGCACATCCATTTCGGTTCCGACAGGGTCAATCGGAATTCTCTGATTGGTGTAGATTTCTATATCAACAAATACTATATGGATAT